AAAACTTAGAAGGGAAAAAAAAGACTGATCATTATGGAAGATTTACTGGATGGCAATAGGAGACAATGTGTTTGGAGGTATGAAGTTGTAGAGTTCATTGCCAGATTTAAAGGGTTGTTTTGCATCCTGCAGGCTATGAGCAAAGAAGTGGGAATGATGGGAACATTGCTGTATGAATACTGATCTGGCAGCAGTATCCAGGATGAGACGGGCAGTTAAGCAAGCATCATGAAAATCTTTTTAACTGAGGTGCTTCAAGGCCATGGGAGCTGAAAAGAAGGGACAAGTGAAACAGTAATTTTGAGAAAAGAAATTAATAAGACTTTCTGGCCTGAATTTGGGGGAAATAACGAGTCCAAAGCCCACTGATGTTGGGGTTTTGAGCAGCACTACCTTGGAAACAGTCATAACATTAATGTACATAGAGAAAGCAAGGGATACAACCAGTTTGCGGGCAAGGTCATGAGCCTGGTTTTGAGGTACTGGGAGACTGGCATATGGATGACACTAAACTGAGCTAAAGCAGAGTTGTGCCAGCTGAAGCCTTGCCTATAGGCTGCGTCTCTGAAGTAGAGAGGAGACAGCAGAAGCTTAAAGACCAACTCATAGAAGAATATCCACAATCAGGAAGTGAAAGGGAGAGGAGCCAGCAAGGGGCACAGGAAACTTACCAGAGATGGAGGAGGAGAATCAGAACAATGCAGAGCCACAGACTTGAAAAGATGTAAAACTGGTGGAGCTGAACAGAAAGGAGAGAAGTGATTTAAGGCCCAAAGTCTCCTCCCAAAACATAGCCTGTTATTTTCACTTCATTTAGTCATACTGCCTAAAATTCTGCCAGTTATTCCTTTTGTGTAAGAATTAAAAGGGTGAGGTATTAATAGTCATTCTCACTATAAGCTGAATTACGGTGTTTTAATCAGACTGCTTTCCACCTAACCCTTAGGGATGAGATCATTTTATGGAGGTTAATCTTTTTTATTAGAAATGTTGAAAGGAGAGGACGTGAGGAAGGTAATTTTGGAGTTCTGCTGCTCAGAGAACACTGTGGGTGGTATTATGGGTAGCCAGAGGGCAGCATGAGGGCACTGGGTAGAGGAATGAGATAATGGGGTTCTAAGAGGCTCACGAAAGGATGTAGAAAGGGGATAGAAGGATTCCAATGACAATTTCCAAATCTTCTTAGAGGGAGGATCCTGATTTACCCCTTCTTTCCAGAGACAGGATGGAAAGCAATTTTTCTCTTCACTAAATTGGGAGGAGACAGGACAGAAAGAGTGATGACAATGGTGATTATGATGACATAGCACTTATCACGTACCAAGCACTGTTCAAATTAAACATTTCATCCTCCTAACAACCCTAAGAGGCAGAGCCTATTATCTCCATTTTACAGATAAGGCAGGTGTGCCCTGTTAGGTCTGCAGAGTCTGGGGTCGCAGGGCAGAGAGGCTAGGAGTATAGAGCCGCCTCTCTAGCTGGAAGCCCGCCACCTCCCACCACGAGACGTCTGCCCTGGGGAGGACGGGCCAACAAACTGGGCCGGAGGTGTTTTTAGTCACGTGTAGTATGTATGCCTTCAACTGAGGCAAGGGAAAGCAGGACATTACCTGACATCACCAAGAAAGGAGGTGAATATCAACTACAGCTTTGGTCTGTCTCTACACCTAGATTTTAAAATGGGAAGGGAGCTGGTGTGTATAAGGAGCAGTCAGGGTATAGACACTGAACCTGGAGTCAGAAGACTTAAGTCTAGACCCTACTGGCTGACCTTGGGCAGGTTAATCCTTCTCTCTGGGTCACACTTTTCCCAATTACAAAATGAAGACACTGGATAAGAGTGAAGTCTCTGAGGTCCCTTCGAGCTCAAAAACTGTACAATTCTAGAACCTGGTAGTTGGGTATGACAAATTATGATCCCTCTCTCCCACTGCATATGTTTGAGAGCATGATATTTTGGGTATAAATATGCCAATGTCTGCTGTCTGTATGTGTATATTCCAGTTATATGACTAAAACTTTAGTTGTTTGTGGGTAAATAAGGGATGCTTCTCGGTTTTCTCTAGGAGAGACCAAATGGCTCTGTGAGGTGGTAAACACTGAGATCACTGACTTAAGGTATGGCGGGAGGGCAAATGATTCCAGAAAAGATTTTAGTCTGTAATCATTCTTTAGCATGGTTATTTTCATTTTTTCCCATTATTTTCACAACCAAATTTAATTTAATCTTGACCTCAACCCTGTGAAATGACACAGGATTTTACAGAAGAGGGAAAAGAGACTCAGAGATTAAGTGACTTGTCTAAGATCACACAGCCTGTTAAAACCCAGAGCTGAAACTAAGAACTAGGGCTTCCACCTCCTGGCTTGTGTACTCTTCCCAGTTCTGTGCTAGGTGTCAGAAGAGAACTTGTGCATAGAAAATGGAGTCAAAAGGGGTCTGTTTCTAGGTGAAGGCCAAGTGGAGGGCCTCTGCCAGAGGAAGCCAGGCCGACCTGCCTGCTCTGTTCCCATCTCCGCAACCTGCTGGCTGCCCTGCCATTTGTTTCAGAGCAGAGGCTCAGAAGACTCAAAGATAATGGCTATTTCAAGAGCCACGAACTATGATTAGAATTAATTAGAATGTCAGAGGGCAGCGATAAGAAGTAATAGCATTCTGGAGCCTCTGGCAAGATGTGAAAGATGTTTACTAACTCTTCTCAGAAACTAATTTGCCCTCTCTTCGTTTTTGGCTCACTTCTATAAAGCAGGGATGTGATCACACCACCTTCCAGGGTTGTGGTGAGGATCGAAGGAGACATTTAGGTTAAAGTGCTTCTGAAACAGTACATACACAAAAGTGTGCTTGTTGATTAAACCAACCAACATTTATTGAGCACCTACACTATTGCAGGAACTGTGTTAGGAACTGGAGGAAAACTAAGACAAACAAGACACAAGGAGCTCAGAATTGCCATTACTATCTCCCCTAGCGCCTTCTGTCTTCTTGGCCCCTTGTGTCTCTTCTTGTCTAGGACCGCATGAGGAAAGAGGGGCTCTGTAGTCCTGTCCAATGCCCCAGCGAAGTGCTTCTGTCCCAGGGAATCGTTGTTACGGCGCAAACACTGGGCCTCCATTGGACCAGCAGAGGGCTCCCTCTGCTATAGCTCACACAGCAAATCATTAATTCACTTCCTGTGAGCCAGGCATGGTTCTCCATGCTGGGGGTACAATGGCAAACAAACATACAGGTCCCTGCCCTCATGGAGTTGACTGTCTACTGGTGAAGGCAGACCTGAAACAAATCAACATGCATATATATATATATATATATATATATATATATATTCACAAATCATGGTGAGGGTGTTAGGAGATGGGGAGAGAGGAGTAGAACTCAATTTAGAAAGACATTCTGACACAAAACTGAGAGCCACATAGATGAGAAGTTGGCCACGCCAGTAGCCTGGGGAGGGGTCTTCCAGGCAGAGGAGTGATAGGGAACATGGTGTCTTCAGAGAACTGACAGAGAAGCAGTGCAGCAGAGACCAGAGCAAGCAAGACAGCAGTACTCAATAAAGCTGGAGTGAGAGGACCACGCTGGGCCTGCAGACTGAGCTAAGGAGCTCACTGTACGTGTGCTACACTTCCCATGCCTTCTGCTCTCTTCCCAGGGCTAGTGAAGAAATGACTCAGGGTGTTCTGCTAGTTCTGTCATTCCACAATGGTGACAAAAGGCTGGAGGTCAGTTAGAGAAATCTGGCCTAGTACAAACCATCAAAAAATTGTCAGCTTTAGCTCCTTTAGATGACAAACCTCACAACTCATCTAACCCAGAACCTATGAACTGGATGAGTGATGCCACCGATTTTCATCCCCAACCCTATACTGATCACAGATCTACGGACATAAACCAACACAGTGGTCACTGTACCTGTTGCACATGGACTCCTCAGTTAGTTTGCTCAGATGGTTCACATCTTTGGGGTGCAGTATTGATTTACAACCAAAAACCTAGAAGGGGAGGTAAATGTGCACAAGCAACTGTAATAAAGGGAAGAGATAATAAAAGCCACAAGAGGAGTAACAGAGTGAGGACGAAACAATAAATCTCTTTCAATTGCATGTTATAGGAGACACTGAGTGCTTCTTTGTGAAGAAAACCAACATCATGAAGTGGTAAATTGTAAGTGGTGCAAACCTCCTGTAGGAGATCACAGGGGGTGAGGCCAAGTAGAGGTAGGTGCGCTCATTCCCTGTAGGTGGCATGTAAATTGGTTAGGGAGGCCAACTGGTACTTTTGCTAACTTTCTAGAAAGTTAGCAATATGGATTAAAAGCCTCAAAAAAATTCGCTTTGACCCTGTAATTCCATTTCCAGGAATCTACCCTAAAGGAAAAAAAAAGATTTATTTAAAGATTAATATACAAGAATTTTCATAATAAGGTCGTTACACTATCAAATGATAGAAACAACTATCCAATCTGGATTATATAATTACATTATGGTACATCCTCACAATGAAATCATATTCAAAGGAAGCTTCTGAAGAACAGTAATGACGATTGGAAACGCTCAAGAGATTTTAAGGTAACATATAAAGAAACTAATAACTACAGTATGTAATTATTAGGATAAATGCTTTTACAGAGCAAGGTGGGAACAACTGAGGGAATGAAGGAAAGATTTCTAGGAATACTGACATATGATGCAGGTCTTAAAGCATGCTTAGGAGTTTGCAGGCGGAAGGGAAAAGAGGACCAAGTGGAGACACCTAAATGCTGAAAAAGAAGACTGGGGAGAGAATATACCTCTTGAGAAAGGTTTGCAGCAACCATACCTCTTACACAGCCACGGTCTGCAAGCGCTGTTATCTTTCCGTAAGTGAGTGGATGAACCCTGACCCTAATCAGGATGAGTCCTCTCCTACCGGAGAAGGGATATCCCCGGGAGGCTACACCCCAGGGTGTAGGAACCAACGCTTCGCAGCCCTTAGCGGCTGGAGTCAGGTAGATCCCTACGCTCATGCGTGCCCCGAGTGAAATAAGTCCCAGGGCCCATGTAGCCTCACCTCCCAAACCTTCCGGCAGCGCCAAAAAGCGACCTGGAGTGGCGACACAGTGCGCAAGCGCAGCCGGCCGCTGGACCACGGGCCGTGTGAAGTTTGGCACCTTGATGGAGGTTGTCTGAGGCTTCTGAGGCTGAAGAGAACGACTTCGAGGTAGACGCCAGGCTGGGTGGAGGCTCCACACAGAGCCAGAGGGACCTGGGGAACTAGAGCATTCCCTTCTGAGCTTGTTGGCTTGATTCTCCGAGGTCACAGCCTCTCAAGCTCTCCCCAACTCTCTGGGGTCCACTCGCAGTTCCCTCTTTGGTCTGCCCCACAGCTCCCGTTTTCCACTTCCTCCTTTATCCCTTGTCTCATCCCTCTGTTCTCCCCGAGGGGCTGGGGTGGGATGGTTTGAGGGGGGACTAGGAGGAAGAAAGTCTCTGGTCTAGTGCAGGCACTGCTTTCTGGCCTGGCTTTTGGACATCTGACTTCTTTAGACGGCTCAGGATTTGGTCTGACTTGTTTCTTCCTTGGAAACTGAGGACCTCCCGAATTCTTGACCCAGTCTATAAAGAGGCTGGGGCCCTGCTGGACTTTCAAACCCAGCAAGGAACCAGAACAAGCTCTGGGCTGTTTATTCAAGGTACTAATAGCTCTGGACAAGATCAGTCTTTTCCCAGGGTTTAGACCTCCCCTTGCTTCCCTTCTGTAGAATATGGGATGTCTGGAGGTCTGTGTATCTGAAGGACACTAGGACATGTGAGGAGAAGATGTTTCCTCTTTAAAATCTGAATTTGAATGTCTTTTCTGGTCACCAGCACTCTCCTGCTAGTCACAGGTCTCACTCACTGTTGTCTTATACTTGTCCACTGTAGTCACTTATCTGCCCAGCCCCTGAAGGTGGTGAGTTTCCAGTCACTGGAAGTTCATTTCTCTGCAGCCCCACCTGTGGAAGTTCTCACAGATGCTTCTTCTGTTCTGACCCAGATCATGACTCATGTGGACGAAGCAGCCCGCCGATTGTCCAAATCTGGGTCAACTCTCTACGCAGTGCTGGAGCTTAAGAAGGGCGCCTCACCTGAAGACGTCAAAAAGGCCTACAGGTTCAGACCCAGCCCTTTATTAAACCCTGGAATTCTCCCCCTTAAGCCCTTTTCCTTTCTCTTGCTTTCTGACCCATTTTTAAATCCCCAGGCCTTCACTTTGGGGCCAGATGGGGTCAGCATCCTCTTCAGTGTGACATGGGAAGGAATTGAGGCTTGGGCTGCTTGCCTCCATCCTTGGTACCATATCTCATGCATTCTTTTTTCACTATCTAGAGACCTATCCCTGTCATTCATCCTAACCCTCCCTCCCCAGCCATTCCCCCCATGCTCTCCTCTCTCTCCTTTTGTTGCTTGGGTAGGAGACTGGCTTTGAAGTATCATCCAGACAAGAATCCAGGGGACCCTCAAGCAGCAGAAATATTCAAAGAGATCAACACAGCCCACTCCGTACTGAGTGACCCTAAGAAGCGGAAAATTTACGATCGGCATGGCTCATTGGGAATATATATCTATGACCACTTTGGCGAAGAAGGCGTCACGTACTATTTTACGATGAATAGTTGTTGGTTCAAGGTACACAATTCCTCCTAGTCTCTTAAGAATAGGGAAGGAGGGGTGAGCCTACTCTCCTGGGACAGCTAATCCTCCTCTCCTAGGATAAATGCTTCTGTGGTCTCATATACCAGGGGCTGGAAGATTGCGGGATGAGAGTTTGAATGGAAATACGGAACTGCTGGCCAGAAGCCGTTCTTTCCTACCTTTTAGACGCTTGTCATCCTGTGTGCTCTGCTCACCTGTTGCTGCTGCTGCTGCTGCTGCTGCTTTTGCTGTGGAGCACTTAAGCCACCACCCGAGGAAGCAGCTAAGAAAAAATATGAGCCGAACGTCCAGTATCAACCTCCAAGTTCAGGTGAGAACCATAAAAAGGGACGGGGGTAAGAGCTGGATTAGGGATGGAAGAAATGGTTGGGGGTGAAACTGTGACTTCCCAAATATGGGAGTCTCAAGTCAGTATTGGGGCAAAGTGAGGAAGGAGAAGGGGATACCCTTGGTTTCTGAGGGACTTATGCCACAAACTGGCAGCTTGAGTGTAGCGTTGGCTTCTCCTGACTGTTAAGCTGGTTGAATGGAGTGGGTGTTAAGGTAAGGAATGGGGTGGGAGACTATGCCTCGAAAAGGCAGTAGTTGAAGACAAATTCATTGCATTTACTCAAGAGAAAGATAATGTCTGAGATTATCCCCTAAAGTGTCGGTTGACTGAAGTTCACACCAATGCCACCTACTGACATGAATGCATAACTTCAAGTAACTGTTTTCTCACCCGCAGGCTAAAACATTCTTACTTAAATTGTTTATATATGTTTTTCAATTCCATCATAGGACACAGATTTAGAAGAGGGGAAGATACTTCTAGTGAAGATTAAAAAAAGATGAAGAAGAGTGAGGTAAGAAAACTGAAATACTGCAATAACTAAACGGTAAGATAAGAATAGACACTAATTTCAGGTGAGGCATTAGTGGAAAAGTTTATATCCTTTTAGTATGGGTTTCAGGTGTTTATATTTTTACCTATAGGGGATTTGCTTTAAATTCTGGGTGATCGTTTATTCTGGTTTAATAAGATGCCAACTTCTTTTACTCTTAGGTGCTGACCTAGTGAGGGTGTCTTCTGCTGCCCAGTCCACTGGAGCCGCTGAAGAGAGGAGCACGTAGCCCTGACCTGACGCTGACCCTGATTTTCTCCTCTTCTTGTAAGAATCCCATCTTCAGAAACATTGATGGCATCCATCCCAGTGAGGATGACATCTTTGTTCTTGATGGTATCATTGACCCTGGCCACACAGGGTCACCCAGCTATCTCTTCTTTTTAGCTCCAGTCCCAACTTTAATCTGTTAGAGAACAGCCCTCCTATCCCTACCCTTGTGAGGTTTTAGGCAGTAGTGACAGTCATTTCCTGAGCATTATTTTTCCTGTGCCTTCTTTGGGATTTGAGCCACTGTCACCTGGTAGGGCCAGCCCCTTACAGTATCTCCATCAAGATCCTGATAACCAAGCATGGTAGATCCTATCCCAGATCTGCTGTACCAGCTAACCCTCCTCTGTTGCCACTCTGTGTACCAAGAACTCTTAGTGTCAGCCCCATTCCTAAGCACGCACACCTTTCTGGGGCTGGTCTCAGCTTCTCCTGGTGCCCGTGCACATTGCCAGCCTCATTCCATGCCACCATGAGACAACTCAGGAAAAGTATCAATGCATCTGAGGCTTTGGGGTGCTTATCCCACCTTTGGATTCTTCCCAGACTGCAGCTACCAGCACAGCACCCATTAGCATGGGGCCTGCGGGTTGACCGAAGTCCACACATCAGAGCCTGCCCACCTCCATCCTTTTTACGCAGGCTGATCACTGTATGTTTTGTTCGTAAAGCAGGGGCATGCAACATGTGATAGGGTAAAGACTGAGCTTTTATAGACCCTTTCTCCACGTGTGCCTCTTCACACTGTCTGTTTGGTATCCTCATCACACTGTTTCCCGTCTACGCAGGGTCAGAGCCTAGTACCTCCTCAACTTACCTCTCCTGACTTGGAGAAGGGCTAAGCGATGCCAGTAAATAAAAGAACTTTTGTCCAGTCCCAGTGCATATGTTGGGTGCCCCCCAAAACAAATTGTGCTGGGGTAGAGAAGAAGTCCTGTAGGAGAAAAAGAGAGAGGACTGGTGCTCGCATCTGAGACCAGGCTGCCTTGGAGAGCGGGAGTCCAGGACAACTGTGGAGCTGGGGCAGAGGCTTCCCAGAGCCTTGTGATTATGACTTTGTCACTGCTCTAAAATTTCCCTGGAGACCCAATTCCCCTGGTGCCCAAAATAGGTCCCTTAGCATTCAGGTCCTTTCTGCCCAGCTCAGCTTCTCTTGATTTCCTAACAAATTTCATGTCCTTGGAGTGGCTCCAGTGACGTGTTCATGGACCAGAGTCCCACACTTCCTCAGAGGCACGCTCATGGGGTCCTTCCAGGCCCTGGCACACCTGCCGGCTCTAGCCTCCTGGGCTTCATTTCCTAGGAGGACAGAAGGAAGGTCTGAGCAAGAACAAATATGGACTGGAAGTGTTGGACCAGAGCCTCTCTCTGTCATCTCTGGTGCCCTTGTTCTGAATCATAGGGTTCAGAAGAAGAGGGCCAAGATTACTGGCTAAGCCTCAGAGTCAGAAACTCTCACTGACTGTAGTTCTGGCAAGATCCTTCCTCCACCCCATTCAGGCTGATTCAGATTGTGTGTCACCACCCTGGACAAAGGGCCCAGGCCCACAGGAGCCCTCTGAGTGAGAGCACCTTTGCTGTTCTGACTTCCACCACAAGCAGTGAAGCTCACCCCTGCTCTTGCTCAAGGGAGTCACCCGTTCCTGAGTGAGTCAGGGTCACTCACTCAGTGACAACTGTGGCTCGCCTTACATGAGCTAAATTGGGAATTGGAATGTCCCACAGATGCCCCTTGTTCCCCACCCCCACGTTAAAATTAATCTCCTCTCTGGGGAGTGCGAGACAAACAGTGCTGCCCAGAGAGTGACCAAGAGACGTTTGGGAAACAGAAGGAGAAACTTCCAGGGACCGAGCTATTCAGGGAGGGAAGGATAGGAGAAGCTCCATGTGCCTGGCCAGGGTGCAGGACAAAGAGTAACGAGAGACAGAGAAGTGTCTGAAAACAGCCATCTAAGGACGAGGCGAACTGTTAGAGGAAGGGACAGGAGAAATAGCAGAGCTATTTCAGGAGTGAGCAACAGAAGCGAACACAAGAACCCTCAGACTGTCCGAAGTAAACGAGGAAGGGTCCAGGGGCAGTGAGAGAAGGCCAGGACCAGGGCCAAGGCCAGGGTAGGCACAATCGCTGAGGGGATGAACTTCACAGTGGGTTTCAAGCCGCTGCTAGGGGATGCACACAGCATGGACAGCCTGGAGAAGCAGCTCATCTGCCCCATCTGCCTGGAGATGTTCTCCAAACCGGTGGTGATCCTACCCTGCCAGCACAACCTGTGCCGCAAGTGTGCCAATGACGTCTTCCAGGTAGGCCGGGGCCAGGGGATGTAGTGCAGACTTGTGGGAGGCTTCTCGTCAGGTCGGCGCTGAGCCCCCAGCAGGTGATGGGTGGAGCGCTCTACGACGTGGGTGGTGGCTGTCCTGTCTGAAGGGCAGACGAGCTGGGGGTCCTAGCAGATTCCAAAGTAAGCATGAGTCAGCAGCTGCTCTGCAGGCTGGCGAGTACAGCCTGTGCATGGACAGCAGCCAGAATGCTGGCATCTACAGAGGACAGAAGACCCCCATAGACACTGGGAGGGAAGTAATCATACCCCAGGCTGTGTGACAGGCCGTGCTAGACCCTGCATTCCAGTTTGGAGTTTAAGATTTCGAGAATGATATGGAAAGTCTGGGGAAAATAGCAATGAGATAATGAAACATTAAAAAATAAACTCTGTTGAGAAAGGTCCATAATGACAGTGAAACTATTCGTATTTAAAGCAAGGCTGGAATGCATCCATCTTTAGGGGGCAGAGTTAGGACAGTGGGCAGGAGACTGGGAATTCTCCCCCAACTGAAGTTCACACTTGCACCCCACTCCAGATTGTTCAGTAAAGGAAGCTTGCTGGTTAAGGGGACTGAGGTCACTTAATCAGGGAGAAGGCAGAGAAGAAATTTTGCTTCCCAGAAATGTAACCAGTTTTGGGTTTTGTGTGGTTGTGGGGCAAACAAAGCATAGCTCATCGAATTCACAGATATCATTTTAGCTACTGGTTTCAAAAATGAAAGCAGCACATACCAGAAGGGTTTCTGTAAATGGGCTTTCTTTCTTGCCCTATGCCATTGGTGTAGGTTCTAGTAATCTATAAAAAATGGAAAAAATCAGGTCAAGTGAGGGGTAACAGCACACATGCATGCGCGCACACACACACGCACACACAAAGTCCTTCCAAATGAAGTAAAAACTTAGAATAGAACAGAGCTGGCTGCCTTGGTAGGCATGGCAGCGATAAGGAACATCATGAACACATACTCTTTATCTATATCAGAAATTATGAGATGTGTTGAATCCAGTGATTTTTAAACTAAGAAAATGCTTCCCTTTTAAGTTCTTTGGAGACAGCACATTTGGGGGAAAATACTGGGCTGGCTAATTCAGGCCATCCCACAGCTGTGCCCCACATCCCACCCTCTGTCTGCTGTCTCCCGTCTTCACTGAGCGCTGAGCCCCATGGTCTCTCCTGCCATCTTCCCATCGAGGCCCATTCCCATCTCCTTTTCCTCAGAATGTCCAAACCTGCCATTATTTGGCTCCAGAGACCCTCAGAGCCAGTGATTTTTCCTCTCTGGGGGTCTGGACTGATGGCTATGTCTGCTCATCCTGGGCATCAGGTCATGTATAAGAAGTTACACCTTGCCCACCATCTTGGTGTTTCCCTTGGTCTGAATAACCCTGAACTTTTTCTTTCAGGCTGAGATGCCTAGGAGGGAATGACAAAAAGATTTTGCCATCCCTTCTTATGAATTTGTAGTGAAACATCCTTTCATTAGAGCTGGAAGTATGTGAAAGGAAAGAGAAGTCTTGAAAGTGAAGGTATCACGTTCTATTTTTTAAAAAGGGACAGTCAGAATATTAAAGTGCACAACACACAGTATCACTGGGCAGAGGGACCCAGGGACGGGTCCTATATATGGAGACTGGAGGATGTTTAAGTGACCTCCCTTGTTCAAGTCAGTCTTCTGTATCCAGGCACATTGCTTTGGTTCCTTGAAGCTCTAGAATACTGACCTGGGCCCAGAGAGACCTGGGAATTGTTTGGGTCAAACCCTGTGCAGAATATTGGGGAGATAATATAATTCCCAGGGCTTGGAGACGGTTCTGTGGATCTGTACTGATGTGTATCTTTTAAAGTGCATGGTACCCCTGGACCTTCCAAAGAGAGAGGAGTGAACAGCTCATTTCCTTGCTGCTTTATTTGGGACGGCCTGGTGGGAGGCTGACCCAGTTCTTCAGCTGCACTTATGTATATATACATCTCAGTAGATCTCCCTCTGAAAGATGAGCAGATTTAGTTTTTTCACACATTGCCTCCACATTTTGACAACTCTAGGCATAATCAGATTGTCTGTTTTCTAAGTATGGGGACAAGAATAGGACTTGCGGTTTCTCTATCTTAAAACTACTTAGGAAGAACACCCTTAGAACATTGCCTAGAAAGTTCACAGGACTTAGAAAAGTGATACCAGTATAACACACACTCACATACACATATTTAAACTAGACTCACCCTATACCTGCCTTTGTTCACTCTCTGTGCTGTTGTTCCATACCCACACATTCAGACCCGAATCTTCCTTTTTAATGGCTGCATAGTGTCCCATTATTATGACTGGGCCACAGTCTATTTAATCAGTCCTGTGAAACATTTGGATGGTGTCCAGTGTCTTGCTGTCCTGAAACCCGCTATGAGGAACAACAAACAAGAATTTGAGGGAATTGTGGTTTTAAGACATCAGGTTAACTAGGGAGCCAGGAAGCAAATTGTGAAAAGTTAAAATATTTCATTGAAAATGTTGAACAGCACTGGGGGTTTGGTAGGAAATCATCCATACTCCGACCTCCCCCAACACAATTATTTTCATGTTTGCAGACTATTTTCAAGCCCTTGTCGCCACATATATTTTTACATAGTTGCCATCACAATTTAACTAGCTCTCTTTAGAGCTGTAATACACTGCGCTCTCTCTCCCTCTGAATTTAAACAGAACAAAACACCAAAACACCACGTTAACCCCCTCTCATTTCTCTCTCTCTTTCGCACACTTGCACCCACTCAGCTACCAGGCATTTTGACTAGAGGAAAGCTGTCGGTGTGGGAATTTGACACAAACATCTTCCCATGTGTTTCCGAATCTGTAAACTCTGTTCACTCCTAAACTCCTTTAAAACAGCCTTCAGTTTATTTTTAAACCTGCCCCCGCTTCCCTGTGGGCACTTGTTTTGAGCTGCAACCTGTTGTAACCGAACAGGCAAGCAGAAGGCCTTGTAAGGATGTTGCTCAGAAACAGCTCTTCTGGAGGGTGTCCATTGAGGGAGAGGTGTGCAGAGATGGAAGTAGCAAGAAAGGGGCCTCCTCCTCTAATAAAGGGCAGTCTGGGAAAGAGATGGCCCTTTTCACTTCATCCCAAATTCCAGTTCTTTCTGGGCTAACTGGTAGGATCTGCTGTCGTCACGTACAGGCCAGCCAGTGAAACCCTACACAGCCCGCCTCCCCGGCCGCTTCCGCCTGCTTCCAAAGGCACCGGGACGTCCCCTTCCCAACCCAGCCTTGAGCAGGTCTCCTCTAGGAGAAATTGGGTTGTTAAAATTTTGTGACTTGTGTTAACCTTGTAGCAGGGTTAGAGATCTTCCTTACTTTAGGGAAAAAGCTGGGTTTAGTGGGAAACAAGATCGTAGACGGAGGCTCGGCCTTCCTGGGCTCTAGTCCCACCTGTTTCTTCTTTAATTTGCCATATGATCTAAATCGGGCAGTTTTCACCTCTTCAAGCCTGTTGTTGACACACATACCGGTGAAAAGGATGTTTTAAAGTGCTCTTTAACGTCCTTGTAATTCTAACAATCTGATTTCATAAATTCAAGGAATATCATTATGGATTGCCTTTGTTGAAGGGCTTTGCATTCTGTCTCTAGTCCGACCTTAGCTCATGCTTCTGCTCACCAGTCCTCTCAGCCAGCCTCCTTGCACAAACCCCTGTGTCACGCTCAGTGCCTGGCCTGTCAGGCAGAGCTAGCCCTCTGCCCAAAGTCCCTCTCCCACCCACAGCTCAGCTTTTGCTGCACCTAGATTCTTCTAAGGCTTTTATACTTTTCTCCAAATGTCTGGTCTTCCATCACACAGTTTCCCCAGTATATGCTGAGGATCTGGTTCAGAGGACCTGCATGGCCACTATTCATCCTTGGCCAGGCCATCAGTTGTGGGGAGATAGCCTCCAGAAACTTGCCCTTGCATCCTGGGCCAGTATCGCAAATCTGCATCACTGTGGGTAGCCAGGAAAGAGGGAAAACATTCTGAGATAAGTACAGATTTGATGGAGGAACTGCATTCACAGAGCATCTTTCTAGATGGAACATTTCTACTGGATGCTATGGACCATTATGAAGGAAATAGCACCATGTAGCCTAAAGAGAGACAGCTCATGGCATGTGTGCCAAAGAAAAGTCCTGAACGTGGCCTAGAATTAAATTCCATGTGTTTATTCCATTCCATTTTATCCTTCACAGTTAAGAAAGAACAGTTATTTATGTCCTGCGGCTCTGTGTGGTCATGTATTTGTAAGGTCTAGATTAGGGTTGTTAATAACCCCCTGCACAGTGCTTTATAATTTACAGAGTACCTCCTCGTGCATGATTCCATTTGAGTTAGAATCGATGTCATTTCCATTTTGCAGGGGAGAACACAGGAAACAGTTTACAGTCACCCAGAGGGACAGAGCAGGGACATAAGTCTAGGTGTTCTGTTTTTTGAGTGATGGGATTTTCTCCACACATCACATTACTGACCCATGAAATTTTACTTTATGGGGCTGGCTCCCTTGTGTAACTGCAAGATTTAAGGAAAGAACACAGACACTTATGTGTACAATAGAGCCAATCAGTTACTGCTTAGTCTTGAAATAGAAAGATAAACAGTAGCAGAAGATAGGTTTTGCTAACCGGATATTGTCAGCTAAGAGATCTTCAGCCCAAGGTCGGGACTCTCAGCTATGGAGATGTATTAAGGAAGTTGCCGTCTGCACCAGAGAGTATAAAATCCCTGTTTGTGATGAGACCATGTAGGGATTCACCATCAGGGCAGGAAGTAATCTCTTTTTGTGCCATAGACCTCCTTGTCAGTTTGTAAAGCCTATGGATCCTTGCTAGGGACAATGTGTGTGTGGTCTTTTTTAAGAACAGTGTTTTTAAATGCATAAAACATAATACATATGACTATAAAGAAAGCTGACTGCATTAGAACACAGTGTGCGTTTTTATGCGTTCTCAGTGGGGC